CCTCCCCGGAACTCGGGACTTAACAGTTGCTTGTGAGGTTGGCCGAAAGATCCTACAGTTAGCTTTTGAAGCAATCCACGAAATTGGATCATCCTATCTCACAGAACTCATAAATGTGCAGGCATCCTTCAGAAACACAAGACAGGGTAAACTCATAAGATTGTCAACTAGAAATGCCAGAACAAAAATCGGAAATCCAGCTTTCAGTGTTTCAGCCCCATCTTTATGGAACGCGCTGCCAGCAGCAATAAGAAAAGTTGGGACTATAGATTCTTTAAAACAACACGTCAAGACATTTCTGTTCCAGATACTATTCAACTGATCCAAATTGTAGCGCCTCAGAGAAGATCTTCTGTAGTGGGCGCTTTATAAATGCCTTGTGACTTGTGACTTATGACTTACATATTGCTAGTCTAAGCAAAGATGGGCCAATATTTTCAATACTAATGCTATTCATATGTCGGTATACCTAGGTGTTAAAGTACGCTAACAAATTTTCCTTCATACTAACAGGAAAATGAAGAAACACAACGGGAAAGTGAGAGTTGGTAGGATTGGGGGCAGAGGAGAAAAGACAGGAGAGTTCGTGTGTATGTGTGGGAGAAGGTCTTTTAGACTGCAGCTTTGGCTGCAACTGGATATCTTTTATTTTGACAGTGGCCATGCAGTATGAGTATGACCGCATTCTGATCTCAGTCAGTAGTAGTACACGAACTTGTACTTTACAATAACATATACAATATTGAGGATGCTGATAGAGACCAGAATCAACATAATATAATGCAAACCATTGCAACAGCAAAAACAACAACAACAAACAACAACAAACAACAACAACAACAAACAACAACAACAACAACAACAACAGCAGCAGCAGCAGCAGCAGCATCACCACCACCACCACCACCACCACATAGGCCCTACCACGTTTCTTCATTATGTACTCTTTTTGTGTATGTTTATCCTCAGCGTCTGCTAGGATTAGTATCTTGAAATTTCAAAACGGAAGAGTGGATGGGAACGAGCGAAGGAGTTGGAGAAGAAGAAAATTAAAGAAGGAGAAAAACTTAAAAAACCAACAAAACTGACTTAAATTTTTCATGTTAAAGAGAAAAGTAGTAGCGACACTTCTTCATCTCAAATCGACAGTAACCAAGAAGAGCCTACTGCTGAAGCTGAGCTAGCTGATGCTAAAACAGTCGAAACTGATAATACTTCAGGAACAATCGCAAATGACGTAGGGCTTCTAGGTGATATAACGGACCATGTGCTTGAAATATGCATAATTCGCGGAGCAAACCCGTTTCGGAATTTGTCCAGTGACTGTCCAGAAACAAAACGAGACTTTTCTGGTGTGAATCGGTATATAAATCATAACAGTCCATTCAAACGTGTTTTGTCAAATGGAGAAGTAGTTGATCGTGACTGGCTCGTATATTCTCCAGCCAAAGTGTTTTTCTGTTTCCCTTGCTTTTTGTTTTCGCCAGACCGTGTACATCTTTCTGGTCAGGTGTTTACAGATTGGAAGAATATAACCAACTATTAAAAAACACATGAAACAAGTCCCAAACATATAAACTCAGTCTTGACTTTATGTCAACGTAGTGTTGCTGCTGGGTGAGTTGACGAGCGGTTACCCCAAAACTTTCTGGAACGACGAAAATACTGGAAAAACATTTTGCTACGTTGTATTAAAACAATCATTTTCCTTTGTGAGAGAGGGCTGGTTTTTCCAGGCAGTAATGAAATCGTTGGGTTCAAGGACAATGGGAACTACCTGGGTATTTTAGAACTAACTGGGCAGTTTGATCCATTTTTATCTCAGCATATCAAAACTCATGCCAACCAAGGACGTGGACACACTTCATACCTGTTAAAAGCAACATGCCAATGTGAAGAATTGATTAACTTGTTAGGCAAGCATGTTCTTGACCTCATCAAGGATGAACTTTCTAAGGCAAGGTACTTTTTAGTCTCCGTAGATTCTACTCTAGATGTTACGCATTCTGATCAGTTAACCATTTTTTTAACGCTGTATCAATATGGTAGATCACCAGCCCGAGGAGCGCTTATTGACATTCATCAACATCTCGAGCCACACAGGACAGAATCTTGCAGATACGTTGCTCCAATGCCTAGAGGAGCAAGGCATCGACTTTGAGAATTGTCGTGGCCAGACATACGACAATGCCAGTAACATGTCTGGTAAATACACTGGAATGCAGAAAATTTTGAAAAATAAAAACAATCTTGTGGATTTCATTCCGTGCGCAGGCCACTCTCTAAATTTAGTTGGTCAATCAGCTGTAGATTGCTGTGTGGAAGCTGTGTCTTTCTTTCAGTTCCTGCAGCGCTTGTATTTATTTTTTGTTGTATCAACACATCGTTGGAATATTATTTTATTACGACACGTTGAGGAAAATCCTGAATGTCTTGTCCCAAAACACCAATCGGTCTGTGGTCTGCCCGGGCTGATGTGACTGAAGCAGTCTTCGGGGACTACAGACAATTCCAAAGTGCTCTACAACAGATTGCAGAAGATATTGACCAGAATGGTCTCACGAAGCACGAAGTTGGTGCACTTGCAAGTTAAATGGACACCATTGAAGTTGCTTTCATGTGTGAACTTTGGAACGACATTTTACATCGTTTCAATTGCTGCAGTAAACCGCTATAAAGTTCAGCTATTGAACTAAGCCCATCCATTGGATTGTTAAAAAGTTTAGACATATATAGATGAGTGTCGAGGAAAGTTTGACTATTACCATGACAAGGCAAGTGACCGATGTGGAAGCAGCATATATAAATCAGACAGTGGGAGAGCATACACAGGAAAACAGTAGATGAAGGAGATGCCGCAAGTGCGATGAATGAAATGCCGGGTTAGGAGAAATTCAAAGTGAATACATTCTTGGTTATCATGGACCAACTGAAAAGTGCCCTATGCAGACGAATTGACGCCTATTCAACAGTAGTGCAGCGGTTTGGTGTTTTAACAGAGTATGATTCAATGTCAGCTGAAGACATTAATGCTGCAACATGAGCCTTAATGTCTATCCACATGACCTCTCTCCTAACCTTCCAATGGAATTTAGACAGTGCTTATGTTGGGTGAAAGAGCAAGTACATCCTGATAATGCAACTGGAAGCGCTCAGAGCATTTTCAAACTCTTGCATACCACTGGTGTCCACTCAGCTTTTCCAGACAACGAGATAGCATTGCGGATTTACCTGTTTCTAATGTCAACTAACTGCACTGGCGAACGTTCATTTTCGCTATTGAAACGCATTAAAGACGTTGAGCGTTCAACCATGTCTCAGCAGAGGCTAGGGATGCTAACACTTCTTTCAATTGAAAGCGATTTACTGTACAACGTCGACATTAACAAAGTCGTTGATGAATTCGCTATTGCAAAAGCTCACAAAGTGGCAATCTAGTTAAGAAATAATAATGCGTAATTTTATAATTGTTGTGAGACCTTAGTTACATTATCTTACTGGTATGTTGTCCATATTCCATACTGTCATACTTTGGACTGGCTGACAGACAGACACACGCACAGACAGACCGTGCATGTGTGTGATGTGTGTGTAGTTTTGAATTTGCACGCGCGCGCTGGCTGACAGACAGACACACGCACAAACAGACCGTGCATGTGTAGGATGTGTGTGTAGTTTTGAATTTGCACGCGCGCGCGTGTGTGTGAGTTAAAGGGGTGGGGGGGGGGGGAGATTTTGCACCTTATCTAACTTTTTCAGGCCACTCAGTGAAGTGTGCCTTAGGGCCAGCTAGGTCTTAATCCGTCGCTGCCGATAGCCCGACTGGATCGTCTCAAAAACAAACGTGTTTATTTTCTATTTCAGGCGATCGAGTCGGGCGATCGGCCTGATCCAGCTGTAGTGGGCACCCCGTATAACATTATCATTATTATTAATATTATTATTGGGTAGAAAGTATGTCGGTTGTCTCAATTGCCCCAAGACGGACAATGGCATGCGGAGAGAATGATGCCTTCAGTTTATGTTTTCAAACCACAAGCGACACGCACGTACTTTGGGGGCGGGATGCGGGGTAATGTCAAATGCGTGTTTCGTGTGTGTGTGTGTGTGTGTGTGTGTGTGTGTGTGTGTGTGTGTGTGTGTGTGTGTGCTTGTGTGCTTGCGCGCTTGTGCGTTTTGTTACAATTGTTTTCATTGAGTTGTTGTTGTTGTTGTTGTTGTTGCTGCTGTTGTTTTCGTTGTTGTTGAAGTTGTTGCTTTTGTTGTGGGATTTTTAATGTTAAAGTTATCGCTTGGTTTGTCTATTGATTACACGTTTGTTTTCAATAACCACTAAAGCAAAATACATGATACAGCTTTCCTGGGCAGTAGGCATAGAGGAAGTAGATTGCCCAAGTATCACTCCCTCCTTCAGATCTTGACTTTCTTGATAGCCTTATCTAAGGAGAGACATGGTCAATAAGTTTGAATCTATGAAGGTGTGAGTACGTCTTATTATTCAGGGCTGTGATAGGGATATAAATTAAGCGTTTATTCAGTATGTAAAGGCACTGGCCCACATCACATAAAACACACATTTTACAGAAGAGACCATGGCAACAGCATTAATCATGAATGACATACATAAAATTAACAACATCTGAAATTCGTGTACTCGGGATATTCATTATGGAAAGGATTTGGTAATTTTTTTGTTTTTAATTTTGCCCGGGGAAGGATAAAATGAGGTGGATGGGGAGGGGAGGGACAGATAAAATAGGGGGCGGGGGTATCCGAGCGGGTGGACAGACGAGGAATAGAGGAGGGGGGAATGGTTGGAGGGTGAAGGGAAAGATGGGGTGGGTGAGTAGGGCACTTAGGGGATAGATATTCGATATATTATACTTCTGTTTGCTTTCACAATGAAAAGTCACATGTGAGTGCAGATCTCAGAGGATGACAATAGTCCAGGTACAATATGACAACAAAAGTATCACTAACAAGCAAACAATATGAAGACAAGCAGGGATTGGACTTTTTATTTAACCTTTAATTTAACTGTCACTTCATCGTGCACGCAGCACCCTTGAAAAAAAAAACGAAAAAAATAAATTGGCGAAAAAAGGCTGGAAGCGGAGGGGGCTAATGACGTCATAGATTGCTGAGCATGGTGGATAGAAAAGAGAGCACCCCCCGGCCATCCTTGCATATGTCATCAGTTAGTTGAAGAATTCCTTTCCGAACTAGGATGTCATGTGTGTACTCGTCACAGTCATCGATATCCTGCGGGGTGGAAGTGGGTGGGTGGATGAGTAAGTGGATGGTTGGATAAGTTATTGAGTAGATGGATTTATGGATACATGGATGAATGGAAGAGTGGGTGAACGGCTGTGTGGATGAACGGAGGGATGGAAGGATGGATGGATAGAAAGGGTAGGTGAGTAAGTGTATAACAGAGCAGGTGGATGGGTGCATGGATGGAAAGGTAAGTAAGTGAGTGTACAACAGGTTGTACGGATTGATGGGTGGGTGGATGGATGGATGGATGGAAAGAGTTGGTAAATGAATGTATTACAAGGTGGATGGATGGATGGATGGATGGACGAGTTTGTATACCACTAGTAGGGTAGATGGGTGGATGTAAGAAACGAGGAAATAAAGGATGCATGGTTAATCAGGCTGTGTAATCGGCAGATCAAAGAGTCTTCAACATATGTGTCACGACGAGGTGGAATCAGGCGCTCGTCATGTTTAGGTGTATCAAGGAGTTATTGATATCATTTTAATGCTTGTTTAGCTGTCTTGGTTTTAATGAAAAGGAAATCATCATCTATCTAGAACAGGAGTCAAGATATTTGCAATTGAAGGAGGTGAGGGTCGCCTGATGTTAGAGGTAAAGATGACGAGTTTGGTGACTTTCAAAGCTTGAGTGTCCTTGAAAACTACTAATTCCATTTTTTGTGCCTTTGATCAACGTTTTCCAGTAAAATACATGTAGGAATATATTTTAAATGGACATAAACGATGTTGATCCCAAAAAAAAATTCGAAAAAAAATTGCCGAACTGACAGAAAAATGCCGGTTTCTTTGATTTTATTATTTTGACGAACGCCTGATTTCACCACGATGCTTCACAGAATGTGATGACATTATCTACTCTTTATCTAACACTGCACAAACTATTAGACATTGTATCGATGTGCTTATTCAAACCCGAAATTAGCTAGATCTGTACTTTTGAAATTCAGCCCCCTTTTAATCGACAATCTCCACCTCATCCTTTGAGCAGGCTCAAGGTTAAAGGAGGATATACGTGGAGAGGTTAATAAGTGCATGTGTGTGGCCTACCATCGACTTCAAGGGTGAGGGGAAGAAAATGTAGATAGATAGATAGATAGATAGATAGATAGATAGATAGATAGATAGATAGATAGATAGATAGATAGATAGATAGATAGATAGATAGATAGATA